CTTAGGGCAGTAGATCAGAAACATCTGGAAAGTTTCGAAATGTGGTGTTGGAGAAGGATGGAGAAGATCAGTTGGACCGATTATGTGAGAAATGAAGAAGTGTTAATTAGAGTCAGTGAGCAGAGGAATATCCTACATGAAATAAGAAAACGGAAGGCTAATTGGATTGGTCATGTTTTACGCAGAAACTGCCTTCTAAAAGAAGTTATTGAAGGAAAGATAGAGGGGCGGATAGAAGTCACAAGAAGACGAGGAAGAAGACGTAAGAAGATGCTGGATGACTTTGGGGACAGAAGAGGATACTGTCATTTGAAGGAGAAAGCTCTAGATCGCATTAAGTGGAGTAATTGTTTTGGAAGAGACTGTGGACCTGTCGTCTGACAGATTACTGATGATGATGATGATGATGATGATATATATTTTTTTTCCTTTGGCGCTACCGCCCTAATTTGTGTATTGGCCTACCTCCATGAAACAGTCCGTTTCACTTTGGTTTACTAGATCTTAGACATTCGGTAGGTCTACTTGGGCGGGTGATCAGCTCGTCACAAGCCCTCTACCTGCATTAGAACACGGAAAAACGCATACACACATCAAATATCCATGTCTTGTGTGGGATTCGAACCCACGATCCCGGCTCGGCTACCGTGACCGGCGCTTAGGCTTTTGTAATTATATCCAGTCGCTCCGATTAGGCCACGACAGTTTCCTTCCAAATGCTTACCAATTCACTATTCATCTGTCACCATACCATTCGACGTTATATGTACAAGTGCAAGAACTGACTGCAAAATAATCCATGCCCCTCCCCATTACCACAGATCCATTCGGCGTCCTTAAATAAATACGTAAATAAAATGAGGTTACACATACTGAAGTGAACAGACATACAGCAGCGATGCAGCTAACAGGTGTGTCCGCCTCATTAGCAACCGAGCACAGAAACAGCCTCGAACCCAATCCGCATGTGACACACACAGAATTCAGACGGCGAAGTCACTGCCGGGTCTTCAGAAGTCATAATTCACGCTTGTTAAAGCAGAAAGCCGCAAGAAGACACTCAAAGTGTACCATCTTCCGCCTTGTGGCTGACGGGTGAGAGAGTCCCATTACTGGCGCCAGGGTATCATCCCTTTTCATACCAACAGTCCCTGGATACTTCGGGGATTGTGTTACAAGATCATCTCTCGTGATGTGTTGCACGTGTGTAGCCCTGCGGTTGGGGTCTGTCCTCCGCCAACAGAGGGAAATTCTCAGCGTTCAGCTACAAAGAACCTGATCTGTACAGGAAGGTAAGGCAGCCCCTTATAGAGACAAGAGAGGAATGGAGGTATAGCTCCGCGCTTTCCTAACCTCGGAAACAGAGGCAGGTGAGTGGAATGCTTCACCCTCGGTGGGGAGGAGACTCACACATCACCGAACAGGAGGCTCTATGACCTTGCCAAGAGGAACATTTCCTGCCATGTCGAGAATCGAACTCCGATTCCTCGGTGATCCAGCCTACAGCCCATTCACTATAATAAATGAGTTATCCTGGTTCCGTACATAACCTCTGCTCAACTAATTAGGCACTACGTCATGAAGACGTATGGAGGAGGGGATGTATAAATCCATGTATTCTTCATCTCGGCACTAGTTGGAGGTGGTCAGCTTCACGCCCCGGCCGCTCCACCCCCAAAGACGAAGCCGCCGGTACCCATTTGATATGAGGCTGGGTGGGCCCTAGAACCGATCTGACGTGAAATG